TACTCAGTTTGACTCACACTAGAGCCTCTAACTAGGGCCTAGAGGCAGTGTCACTACTCACAGTGTACACATAACAAGACTTACAAGTGAATCAAGTCTTAGTGATTATTCAGACATTATGATCATTAGTCTTAGTGAATTGTCATTCATTAGACTAGTTTTAGAGTTAGACTTAGATTTAAGTTAGATAAAGACTAATAAGTTAGACACTGTATCATGTTATTTATGTATGTGTAGTCTGAGTGGCTGTAGATGTAAAATTTATTCAGAAATTTCAAATTAGTAGTCGGTGTGTTACACTTAAAGTAGACAATGTAAATTTAGAATCTAGTAACTTTGTAAATATTGAAATCTTTATACTTTATATAATACTTTATATAATATATATAATATAGATTCTATTAGACTTTGCTAGAAATTTAGAAATAGAATCTATTATAGAATAGATTACTGAATTATTTACTCTAAAATTATTACTCTAGTTCTCTAGTAAGTCTCGAGAGTCTTAGAAGTTGTCTAATAAGTCTAGACTAGTCAAGTCTCTAGATCTAATCTAGATTTTTCTAGATCTATATATTATAGTAATATAGTTAGTAGAGACTCTAGGACGATTACTAGACTAGGTCTAGTACTACAGTTACAAGGTGTCACGGCCTGGTTCTTATTATAGGTGTGATGACGCGAAGGTCTCTGTGTGTTGTAGATACCTCTTCTGGTACTACTATAATATTCTTTGTTTTCTTAACCAAATACTTTCTCACATGCACTAGATTTGCAGGTGCATGAGAACACTAACATACTGAACTCTCCGACCACAACATTTAGAATTATTAATAGACTCACTGGTAGCAGACATGGTTTTTATTACATAAAATATAATTCACAAAAGATATTGGCGACTTCAGCCATCACAAATTACATCCAAGGAAAAGTGTCCTGAATACAAATCAATTATAATAACTTCAATACTTATACACAACTCTGCTTGTCAAAATTATCCAAAATATTCTTCTCTCTACGAGAGCCCCAGATCAACTGAGGTGTCCACTACTACTAAGTACTACACTAGGTCTAGAATCTAGATGAGTAGATCTACTAGATCTATGTAGATTCTACTTCATATATTTTAAAACAATAATTAGATCTACTTTAGAATTAGAATATAATATCCACAGATTAGAATTAGATATAAGTTATAATTATTCAATATTTATATCTCAAATTATATCAGTACATCAATAGACTAAATAGATAAAATTATCAAGATAGACCTATATTTTATAATTTATATATATTAATATCTTTGGACTTCATTTTATTATGACATATAAAATCTAGTTGCTAGACTAGAGCAATTTTTTTTTCTTGATTATAATTCTAAGTTGTAATGACTTGAACGGATACAATTTATTTGACCAACATTAAGCCATGCTGTTTGACAAATTGTCATCCTCATCCGTCAAGCCGCTAAAATTTGACTTACTGACACCAATTGTCATATATTGAAGTGAGGCGACTCCACAAATACATGTTTATATTAACGGGACATTGGAAAATATAGTAACTGTGTTTTAACTGTGTCTTGAGCATAGCTTCTTCAACAGCTCCAGACTTGGGCTGAATTCCATTATCTTCTTCAATGTAAACATTCCTTCTCAGTCTAGTCTTTAACAGTGCGCACCTACTGCATTATTTGAATGACGATGTGCATGGCAGGGTTAAAACAATATTATAGATCTATAGCCAAATGTACAGACACTGCAGAATTAAATTTCCATTGTACTTCGTAACTCAATTTTAAAAAATTTAGTTGGCAATATCGAAGTTTATTGAAGAATTAAGTTAGATATAGTTAGATATAGATATAGATTTCTAGATATACATTACTAAAGAAATTTATGCTTTCTAAGTGTAGTAAATATACTAATAGTAATAGTCTAATCTTATATTCTTAATCTATACTCTACATTCATAATAATTTATTCTATTAGAATTAGATTCAAGATCATCAAGAAGATGAGTTATCAACTTTATAGGAATACAACACTTGGTCACACACTGCAAGAAAGCTTAGATGAACTCATTCAGGTCAAAGTGTTGTCCATCTACTTATTAGCTTAAAAAAAGTTAGTCCAAATTTGAATTAATATATACATTATACAAGCTCCCCCAAATGACGGCTATGGAGCTATTCTAAAGAATGGGAATGCTTTGCATGATACCATTTATATTTGACTTCTACAATATTTTTTAAGTACATATATATATAATTTATGAAGAGTTTGCTGTGAATGTTTAGATAATTATAAAAACAAACATGCAGAAAAAAAGTGGGCATTTAAAACACAACAATTTAGCATTAAAGAAAAAGAAAAAATACAAGTATTTGTACTGCTATTGAATTTAGGATTTCTAAGAATTTGTCATGACATGTGTTTGTAAAATTTTTTATATGTTGGGGATGTTCCTTCAGAGTTGAAGAAAATCTACTTCCTAGTCCAAACATTTGCAGGAAGATGTGGGATGTGGAATGAACCCGGGACATCAATTCATGTGCTTATCATGTTGGCTACTTCATGTACTTTGTACATCAATTTGAGAATATTTTGCTTAAACACTTTAACACATTTTTTTTTTGGACAGAAGTGTCTTTAAACTCTTCTCTATTATCATGAAAATAATAATTACCGTTACTGAAATTGATATTGTAATGACCATTTATTACCTTTCAGATGGGACAGATCTCCCCCCAGTTAGCACTCAAAGTTCTATTACAGTTTGACAAAGCCATTAACCAAGCTTTGGCTCAAAGAGTCAAGGCTAAGATCTCTTTTAAGGTAAGTGTTTTGATCGAAGCTGAATGGTACAGTTGTCCATTACATTGTCTATGGTGTTTCCAAAATTTAATAGACCAGGGAAAAATATAGACACTGTTAATCAGAGTATAAGCCAGGAATAGAGTGGAGAATGAGCCCCTCTCCACTTTAAGGCTTCAGACAACTTTGTTAAAAATAAACCTTTTTCTTACTTCTGTTAAGCCAGCCCTCTTTCTTCTAGGAAGCTAGGAACTTGTAGTAAACGCAGCCATGTTTTGGAAACTCAATACAATTACAGACAATGAATAGAGAGACAATCACAAAGACATCACAGCTATGTGTTTAAAAATCTTGTAATACTGTACAGGACAGGTTGTGATTAAGATGTTAAACAGAAAAAAATATAAGATACGGGTATAAGAACGTTTTTGCTGATTTGTTTATTTGAATAAAATGAACTAGAACTTTAAGTAAGTTTTACTCCTTCAAATTAAAGGGTGCACTTTAAAAATCATCAGCTATCATAGAATGCAGTGTTTATGGTTGACTCCCAAAGCAGATAGATGCTTTTAGTGACATCTCTTTTTAGAAAATTTAAGATACTGGTACAAGAAAGTTTTTGCTGATTTGTTAATTGAATAAAATGAACTAGAATTTTAAGTAAGTTTTACTACCTACCAAACATAAAAAGGCTTCAATAAAGTGATATCAAATCTTGTCATATTGCTTTGAAGTATCTACATTCTGTGCCAATACATTCATGTTAAAACAACTCAATGAGAAAACTTAACAAGATTATTTTGTTTTTAGAATCCGAATGTCTCTTTTGCAATTACTTGTTGTTCTTATAAAGTTTTTTACAGAATAAATAAGCATAATAATATAAATAGGAAATCAAAGTGAAAAAAAAACCAACAGTTTTGTAGTTAAAACATAACTGCTGATGTTGCCTATCGAGGCAGAAAAGAAATGATAATGTATTTTTATAAAATCAGGGGACATTTAAAATTGCGCATTTTTGTTTTGTATTTTTCTTAACCAACCAGCCTCAGAATTTTAAAACACCGGTTCATTTATTTCTCCATTGAGTCGATGATATTGTTTAGTTATTCTAAAATGCATGCACAGATAGAATACATTTAATACAACAATGAATTGTTAGTCAGAAAATTTTTCTTTTTATGGATTTCAGGGCAAGCTGAACACATACAGATTTTGTGACAATGTCTGGACCTTTGTATTGAACAATGTAGAGTTTCGTGAGGCCCCAGTGCAGGAAATAGCAAAAGTTGACAAAGTCAAAATAGTAGCATGTGATGGAAAGAATATGCAGGCTTAAAGGTTCAGCGAGTGATATAATATGAGCTTGGTATTTCTTGGTTCAAGAAAGAAATTGTTTTTATGTTGTGCTTCTTATATTTAATATGGTTTGGAAGTAAGTTGAGTTGAGTGAGTTACTGATAGAATCAAAACAATATGCAAAAAATTCTTAACAGGCTTTCTCTGTGCCGGTAACAATATATGGTTGGTTAATGCAAAGTCCTAAATATAAGATTTTTATAACATGTTTGATCCACTGAAACATAATTAATATTGCTTCAATATCTTAATATTTTGTTGATATGTGCCCTTTAGTTGGCCATTGTTATTTGTTTCAATTAAAACTTCAGCTGGACAGTTGAAACAGCAGTGCTATCGTTGCCCAATCTTCAAATAACATTATTTTTATGGGGGTGTAGGTAACAATTCCAAAGACTTGTTGATTCTTGTCTGTGTGGTCTGAAAAGGATTTGTTCTTGTATTTAAAATTATTGTTTACCTTAGGATTTCAAAAGATGTTAAATGATTATTCTCAAAATACTGGTGCAAAATTATGCAGAGCAAAAGATGAAATGATTTATAACAGAAAAACTTACATAGAAACCTATTTTGGTTATCCAATGAAAAATTTACCTTCAAATTAAAGGGTGCACTTTAAAAATCATCAGCTATCATAGAATGCAGTGTTTATGGTTGACTCCCAAAGCAGATAGATTTTTTTAGTGAAATCTCTTATTAGAAATGAAAAGTGCAGATAATGCAGTGTATAAGGCCACCCTAAAAATTGAGACTTCATTTCTGTTCTAATAATATGTAGTAATTTTTTTGTGTTAATAGACATTTTGTTCTCTTTTTTTTGGGGGGGGGGGGGGGGGGGGTTGTATTATAATGTTAAAAACAGCACATTTTAGATTTTTTGTCTACATTTCTTTTTATTTGTGTAGAGATTTTTTTTTTGTATACTCAAAAAGGTATTTTTTAGGTTAATTATTTGTAATACTCTGTTGTAAACTTTATTTAGTATATTATTGTTCATATTTCATTTACTTTCAGAATATGTGTTACATATTTTATGCCTGTTAGCTGGGAATACACCTGTAAATCTTGAATATATCCATACTGTTCATACATGCAGTTAAAGTTTGTAGCTTTGATATTTCTTTTTTTTTTTTTTTTTTTTTTTTTTATGGTCAAATGTTTTTATTTTTAAATATTTTGATTAGGGCACCATAACAAAATTTTTTTTTGCCTTCTTTCTCTAAACAAAGTTCTTGGTGTGTTTGGTGATGGCTGTATGGTAGACAATGTTCATGGCAGTCTTGCTGTTTGCATTAAGGCTTTGATTGTCTGGTTCAATAAAGCTGTGTCCAAGATAGTATAATTTTCTTCCTATTTGGACCTAATATATATATATATATCAGACATTGAAAACTTTAAAGAATAAAGTCTACTTAAACCATGTCAAATTATTTCTTAGCTTTATTTTTAAATTGCTTTTTTATTTACAACTTTCATGCTTATAGCATGCTTAGTCCGCTATGGACCAGTGGTATCTGGGAGGTTTGTGTGCTGCCTTTAGGCGCTCAGCCAACACAATTCACCTGAATTTAGGATCTGATCTCTAGCCTTATTTATAGGTAGGAAAGCTGTTTTTACCACCCAGTCCAGCAGCATGAGAAAATGTCATTGATATAAAAAATCGTTGTACTTCCAACAGCTGAAGAATTTTCTCATGCTAGTCGTTTGTTTATAATTATTCATTAATCAATATAGACAAAATGTCTAAAGAATGTTGTGAGACTGTAAATAAAGCTAATCTTTGAAAATTGTTAGTTTCTTGTCTTTAATTTGTGAAATAATCAATTACTTGAACATTTTTAGCGATACAATAAAAAATTAAATTAATTAATGTTTAATAAAATTTTTGCTCAAAGGAATTATTCTGTAGTAGAATTAAGCAGGTTTATTCTCAACATTCCATGGATGCGCAAGTTTTTTTTTTGTTATTCATTTAGTCCTAAGAATAGCTAGGGCTTTACACCTATTAAAACTTGACTTCAGAATATTTAGTCATTTTTACAAGGCCAACTAATAGAGAGCTTTTCTCTTATTTTGACGACCTGGAAGTGGACTAAATGAATCTTTAGTCATCTATCTCTTTATTACAATTAACATGTCACTGATTCTTAATATTTGTCTTTAGTGGCTGTATACTATTTGTACATTATTTCAAGACGGCTGTGTTACTGAATTGAAGATTTTAAAACACCTCATGGCTCATTTGTTAATAAGGCAGGGATATAGTCATTGTTATAGTTGTAGTTTGGCAACACTTTCAACTATCCTGTGAATTTATCATTACTAGTCTCCTGAATATGCTTAAAGCATTTCAACACTATGATCTTCAAAATGTACATCAGTGAAAAGTTAAAACCTTTTTGATTTTTACAACCTCATGTCAATGAGCACCAAGACAAGAGAACTAAATAATCACTTAAAAGAAGTTTCAATTTTAATTTAAAAAGAAAAAAAAAAGAAACAAATCTGAATGAAAACAAATTTAATAAATTACTGACGAGAAAATCAAAAGAAATGGGCACATGGCGCAATCAAATGCTGAATATCCAATTAACATAGACCAGGGTCAGCCATTTCTATTGGTCATTCACACTTTCAATCTTGTCGCTACACATGGACCTAAAGATTTGTTACATTCACACACTTTTCTTAACACTATTTCTTAATCTATTATTTGAGAACAGTGCAGTTACAATGCTTGTCAATTAGTAGAATGTGCAAAACAAACGACTTAATAGCAGAAACAAATGTCACATTTACATCTTCAACCAAATTTGTTTTTCTCACTTTAAACAAAAAAAACAAAATTATTTCCTACAAATTTACTAGATGATTATTTTAGTACCAGAACTTAACAAAAAATAAATTGAAACATTTCAACTTGCACAGACCAAATTTATAAGATACTGGGACTGGTTTCATCACTGATATGTGAATAGTGTTGAAGCTGGGTTGAGAATAAACAATAAAGTTAATCCTATTGCATACTAAGGAATGAAAAAAAATTAGTATACCACATGAATGGAAACAAGACAAACCTTCAAAGATCTACTAAAATAACACGTATCAGACAGTACATTTGATTGTTGCATACAAGCCGCTGACTAAACATCACACCAAGACTACAAAAACGTCTCATGCTATGTACAACAAAACATTGAAGAGAACTGTACAAGATGTAAAACACCTGGTCAACAATCAACATGCCTAGTAGTTAATATAACAAATCTCTGAGTAGCACCTAAATATCTAATACAGTAGACACAACAGCACTGGCATGTATCGATAATGAAAAATTTGATGTTGAGTCATCATGAGAATGTACAGCATTCCCAACAAGCCAGACAGAAGACAACATTGGATCTCAAAACTGCAATCATCCCATCACAGTAATGGCATGTTTGAAGTTTAACAAAGCATAGATGATAAATGACATCAAAGTACAAAAAATGCCTTTTTTTTTTTAGAATGTTTAAACACGTTCATCTCTGGTAAAAAAATGTAACAGTTCTAAAAGAAATGAAACATTTAAAGCAAAACACACATGTTGATATTTATAAAAAGATTTATACAAAAGCTTTAAGTCTGACCCATTATGTCAGAGTCAAAACTGTCATAGAAATCCAAGAAACATGATTCATTTGTTCTATAATACACATCGTCATGAAGGCTTACAATCCTGTTTACTAATATGCTCAGTTCAAACAATGAATCTTTCCAACTGGTTTAGACAAGGGAACATAACCTTATTTTTACAATCTTTCAAACTGAATCAACTACACTTTGTCTCCTTATGTTTATTTTATGAGGGGTCATTGTTTCCATAGTATACAGGACACAGGATGATGACTATAGTTTGTGAAAGCAAAGAAATCAAGGTCTTAAATCAGCTTTAATAAGCAATTCTATCATCTTTCTGGCTACCATCTTGTAATGATTAGAAAATTTTTCATTGCTTGGGACATTTCTTACATTCCCTAAACCTAGCTCATTTCTACAAAACTAGTACCATGCCCAAAAGTGCTGAAGACAGGCATAGATGGTGAAAAGAGGAACTCAGTCAACCATTGGCAGGCAAGTTTTGTCTGTATTGGATGTGACAAAATATGTGGAACACAGCTAGAATTGCAAAGCCATGTGAAATACTCTTTAATCTTCAGGCTTGAAGGTAAGATCTAAGAAAACCATTGATTATATGTCTGTTACCCAGATTGGTAAAACACACTCTCTAGAAACTCTCATTATAATACTTTAAGGTTTGAGATATACAGAATGTTTATCAATGAAGAATACAGTAATTAAAAGAATAATAAGGAAATGTATTCATTCTGAAGATTAAAGATGGGTGCAGTATTTCACATGAACTTCACAAACTCAGTTGCAGCCTGTATATTATTGCCATATCTATTACAGACAAAGCTTTTGTTGGCCATATGTCTAATTAAGACTTCATTTCATACTCTGCACCTATTTTCAGCAAATAATTCACTCTTCCATAATATTTGGACTCAAAGAAAAGCTTTTATTTTTTTTAGATATTAGGATAATAAAGCCATTTATATTGCGATTCTAAGTTAACATTGTCAACATAGAATGTCTTGTTTTTCAGAATCATAATTTAAAAAAAAAAATTCATTGTTTACAAAAAAAATGCTGTTGTTTGATTAAACAAAAATAATTAATTTGGAGTAATTAATTTGGACAACTAAAAAAAAAGCACAATTTATAAACAGAAATTTAAGGAACATTTATTTGATCACAATCTTTAATTAATCAATTTAATGACCTTTTAACCAGATCAAATTGATATTCCCTTTGTTCAAAACAAGAGTTACTATACATGAACTTGAATAAATTAAACTTAATTGTCTTACATGCTTCTTGATTTTGTTTTTATTAATGATATAGATCTAATAAAAACACAAACAATCATGCTCATATACCTTAACTTTGGCTACTACCTGACTTCTATAAGTAAATACCGACAAAGATGAAGGAATCCACTGGAACTATATCACCGAAAAAAAATCAGTCTCCATGAGCACCGTTATATATAATGCCAGTCACCCACTAAAACTGGGTGGAATCAAGGAGGTGCATGTAATGACCAAATACTTTTGACCAGATAGAAACACTTTAATTAACTTCACTTTGCAAGGCAGCACTGACCTAAACAACCATTTTTAACAGTAGGACTTCATATACAGATTATGGTGAGAGCATTGTCTATAAGCTAAGTCCCAATCACAGTTCCAATACAAATTGTAATCTGCAAAACATTTTAGTTCAGCAGCTTTCAGCATTTAATGCCTGATAAACTATCTCAGTCAGTAGCACATGCACATATTCATCATCAACATATTAAAAACACTGCAGCTTGCCAAAACGCATCATCATTCCTTGTTACAGCACATATGCACTTACAAAAATAGCCTTCATAAAGTAATAACAATGTTTTTTTCGATTTAAAAAAATTGATACCAGCAAATAAAAAAAACAACCCAGCCCTGAATGACCAAGTAAAATGTAACTTGTATATTGAAGGCCCAGTAAAACTCTGGTCCACCTAATCCAGCTATAATGGGGGCTTGACATTAGTTGAGAAAAAGTAAAGGCGGTTGGTCTTTGCGCTGGCCACACGACACCCTCATTAACCATGAGCAACAGAAACAGATGACGTTAACATCATCTAACCTATAGATCGCAAGGTCTGAAAGGGGAACTTTATTTTCTACTAACATAAAAAAATAAATATAAGGACTTAAAATTCTTACATCTAATAAAAAACCTTTCTTACAGAGACTACTCAAGCCCTCTCATAATGTCCATGCCTTGATTAGCAATATAATTTTAAAAAGAGCTTCTGTGCACAGCAAAATACAGCATGTAATACAAGAAGATTCCCTTCACTGACCTACACAACTTGCTGGAGTCGATAAATAACCTTAAGATCAATGGATCATATAAACCATCAGAAGGCAGAGGCTGAAGATGAATGCATGTGAATTATTTGAATATATAAAACAATGATTCACTAACAATTTGAGGAGTTTATTACAGAGACAAATGTTTAGAATAATGTGTATTAACTTTTTTTTGTTTTATTTCTTGAGCTGTACATAGAAAAACAAAAGAAAGAACAGAAAAAACAAAACAACAAAACAAAAACAGAACAAGAATTTTAAAAAATCAATAGTAATAAATGCAAGATAATTATAATAATACCAAAAATATATTATATAAATAAAAGTATAACCATTTAAAAAAAAAAAAACTGATGTAGAAATCACTTCAGTTTATTGGTGTTTATGTTGATATATATATATTTGTATATATTGACCTAGAGGATGGAATACGGGACCTGCACTGGTGCTGGTTTAGTGACCTTGTTCCATAGGTCAAGGTCAACCAGCTTGGATATCCTACATAAATAGCTTAATGTCCACAAGACATAATTATTATGATAGGAGGAACAAAAAGAATATATCAATCCCCTTCCCCCCATTCTTTTTCTGATCAGAACCTTTGTACCTTCAAAGACCTCAGATTTGGAAACACGTACAGGAGAACTCACAGCAAACATTGTCCATACAATCTTGTCAATGTCAGAGGATTCTGAACAATTTTTTTCTTTTTTTTTTCACTAAGTAGTTTTAAAAAAAAAACTTTAAAAAATTTCCAGAAAAAAACAACAACAAATGTTTAGTGTGGAATGATGGGAAGACAAAGTGTAGACTGGGTCACTGGG